ATTTACTGAAACTCAGCATTTTCCCTGAGGCCAGGGGAATTTGGGGAAGAGCTGCAGCCCCCCAAAAATACAAGAAACTGAAAAGGATTCCAGTGCTGGAATTTTTAGGTTTTAATTCTACAGCAGAGCAGTTACTCACCCCTAACTCAGAGTGAGCAGAAATACTACACAGAAACAACGTGTTTGGCTGCAGAAGCAATTTTATTTTTAATTATTGTGGTAAGTAATACACTGATAAATGAGAGAGGAGTTCAAAACTTCAGCTGGAGGAGTCAGGCAGTGTGGGGAACAAGTGATCCCTGGAATTAGCCAAGGGCTCCTAATCCACGTGGTGCTCCCTGGATTCAAAATATTGGGTTTAATTTCAAGATTCTCAGGCTCTGGTCCTCACCTTTGGCTGTTTGGGACAAATTTGTCTGAGTTAAAAGTTCTCTGGCCACTTCAGACTCATAAAACAGTGGGAGAAAATTCCCTGAGCTGTTGGAATTCTGCCCCTGCTGCTGCTGGTGCCCATTCCTGCACAAAATATAGAGGAAGTGTCACTTAAAAATCCTTTTAAAAATAATTTTAAAAAATCCTTCCCAGTTAAACAGCTCTTCAACAAGGAGGGGAATCCAAATTTCAACCTTATTTTGAGATTTAAAAACGGATCCAAATGAAAAATTTAAAATTTTTGCTTCAAAATGTGACTAAAAGTCATTATTTAAGCAATTTGAATTCTCAGCTGTGGGTTTGTGCAGAGAGAGGAGCTGCAAAGACCACACCAGTCTGTGCCAAGGGGAATGTTTGATTCCCACTTCTGTTGGTCCATCCTTTGGGTCACCTACTTGTTTTGATATTGGAAAAAATCTGAGGGAAAAGCACAGGAATGATATTGGAATAAATCTGAGGGAAAAGCACAGGAATGATGCACTGCTCAAAGAATTTGGTACTTCCGGTGTCCCTTAGCCAAAAGCACAGCAGTGCTGTGCGCTGCCAGGCAGGAACCAGGAGAAATCCCGGATCTTGGAGCGAAAGCCCAGAGCTGTTGCCGTGGCCGGTGACGCCAGGGCCGTGTCCTGTCCCCCAGACTGCGGCANGATTGTTCCTAAGGTTCAGCTTCTTGTGGAATTGAACTTTTCTATGGAACTGAAGCAGGATTGCAGTTAGGATTCAGCTTTCCTTTGGAATTCAAGTAGGATTGTTCCCAGGATTCAGTTTCCTGTGGAATTCAAGCAGGATTGCTGCTGGGATTTAGTTTCCTGTGGAATTGAGGTAGGATTGTTCCTAAGATTCACCTTTCCTGTGGAATTCAAGTAGGATTGTTCCTGACATTCACCTTTCGTGTGGAATTGAAACAGGATTGTTCCCAGGATTCAGTTTCCTGTGGAATTCAAGCAGGATTGCTGCTGGGATTTAGTTTCCTGTGGAATTGAGGTAGGTGTGTTCCTAAGATTCAGCTTTCCTGTGGAATTGAAGCACGATTGCTCCTAGGATTCAGTTTTCTGTGGAGTTGAAGCAGGATTGTTCCTGACATTCACCTTTCCTGTGGAATTGAAACAGGATTGCTCCTAGGATTCAGCTTTCCTGTGGAATTCAAGCAGGATTGCTGCTAAGATTCAGTTTTTTGTGGAATTCAAGCAGGATTGCTGCTAGGATTCAGCTTTCCTGTGGAGTTGAAAACAGGATTGCTGCTAGGATTCAATTCTTGTGGAATTGAAGCAGGATTGCTCCTAGGATTCAGCTTTTCTATGGAATTGTAGGAGGATTGTTCATAAGATTCAGCTTTCCTGTGGAGTTGCAGCAGGATTGCTCCTAGGATTCAGTTTTAAGTGGAATTTAAGCAGGATTGCTGCTAGGATTCAGCTTTCCTGTGGAGTTGAAGCAGGATTGTTCCTAGGATTCAGCTTTCCTGTGGAGTTGCAGCAGGATTGTTCCTAGGATTCAGCTTTTCTATGGAATTGAAGCAGGATTGTTCTGGAGATTCAGCTTTCCTGTGGAGTTGGAGCAGGATTGCTCCAGGATTGTTTCCCATGGAATTCCCTCTCTTTTCCCCTCTCCCAGAGTTTGAAGTGAACATCGTGGTGCTCCTGCAGGACGACCACCTGATCACAGAGAACTTCCCCCTGAAGCTCTGCAGGATGTGAGCAGCCCCAGGAGCGGCAGGAAGGATTTCCTGGGAATTCCTCTGAGGGAAAGTGGAACTTTATCCATGCCTGACATCAGCTGGAGCCACCTCACTCCTTTCCTTTGCTCCCTCTCCCTGTTAACCTGGCCAAGACTTTGCCTCTCTGCATTTCCCAATCCTGCTGCCTTCAACAATCATGTTTTCCCCAAATTTTTTTTTCAGGAAAATCCTGAAGGAATCATTCTGTAGCTTTCTACAGCTTGTAGAATTATGGAGCAAGTTCCTCTCTTGGCTTAATTTTGTAATATTTGTTCTAAAGTCCTTTGAAGCCCCCTTAAAACTCACAAATCCCATTCCAGCCATGCTGGGAGGGTGTGGGAGTTGTGGCAGAAGGAGCAGTGAGGTTTCTGAAGGGCCAAAAAGCGGTGCCACAGCCCTGGGAGGTGGTGCTGTGGGATCTGGTGGATGGCACATGAGTGATTGCAAATCACACCAAGGAAATTTTGGTGTTGGAAGAATTAATTGATGTGTTTGTGACTGTACAGCTTAAAGGAAAATTAATTCAGCAAGAAATAACCTTCCCAACACAAACAGGTTTGGATGTTGTTTTCATGGAACAGCCACAACTTGTGGATTTTCCATTAATTTTCCATGGGGGGCAGAGGCAGGCTCAGTCTATAATATGGAAATTAGAAGTGTAAAGATCAGCATCTAAAAATGCAGAATTGAGAAAACTAAGAAAAATAATTTCCTTTGGTTTGTCCAGCAGGAGAATGTAATTCCAGTTTGGGCCCTGATGTTTCAGGGA